TAGAGTCGCCCAAGACTTAGCCAGAGTTGCGCAAGATCAATCCAAAGCTAGTCAAGACCATGCAAAAGCCACTCTTGCTAATGAACGGAATTTAGCAAAAATAGTGGACCAAATCTCTTGAAGGTTCGAGTCCATTTTGGAGCAGACCCTTGGAAGCTTAAACCAAGGTTTGGCCCCTCGGCCAAACAACTCTGAAGGGTCTCAACAGTCGGCCTTCCAAACTAGTAGGCCAGCCACATTTGTTGAAGGGAGTTCTTCTCAGCAACATGCAGGGCCACTCCTTCTAACTCAGCAGCAGGTCCAGTCCCTTCCAATGGCACAGACTTATATTCCAGCTGCACCTATGACTGCTCCAGTGGCACAGATGACTGTTCCACAAGCAGCACCCATGCCAACCATTCAGCAAGTTCAGAATCCTCCACCTATGGCGTTTCCACAGCAAACTTGGCATGATCAGCCTGGCCATCTATGGCCATACCACAATCCTCAAGCGCAACAGAATATTCCACTTATGAACGTTCAGCCAGCCGCACCTGCTCCAGTAAGGCCACCACCTATGGTCATTCCAATGGCGGTTGGGGGGCAACCTTTTCCAAGGGAGCCACTTCTTGACCAAGGAGGAAGGAACCGTGGCAGGAACAATTATGCAGATGTTAACCCCTTGCTAATGGCGGGTAGGGGGCATCAAGTGGCCAATCAACCTTAAGGTTGGCCAGACAACAACCCTCCACTACCTATGGCACTTGACAGAGGTCAATTTGTAAAATTCCTTCAACAGGAATTTGGCCTAACTCGAAGGGGTGGAAGGCCAACTTACAGAAAGCCCTATCCAGAGTTCATTGATGAAGTTGAATTTCCAAGGAATTTTAGAATTCCAGAGTTTGCAACGTTCAATGGAGAGGGCGAACAGTCTACCTTGGAACATATCAGTCGGTTCACTGTCCAATGTGGAGAAGCAGCAGCCAATCCATGGCTGAAGGTACCCTTGTTTCCAAATACACTGACTGGGTATGCTTTCAGGTGGTATTTCAACTTGCCAGCCAAATCCATTCAAAGTTAGTAGCAATTTGAGGATTTATTCCATACTCAATTCTATAGAGCTGAGCTTGAAGTGTTTATGACAGACCTTTCCAGACTTCATCAACTACCTGGAGAGTCTGTGATGAGCTTCCTTTCTAGATTCGGGCGGGCTAAGTTCAAATGTAATTTGTCTTTGCCGCCGGAAGAATATGTGAAGATGGCTGTGAACAGCCTAGAATTTGAACTTCGCAAGAAGTTTGAAGGTGTACAGTTCCATGACTTGTTCGATTTGGCTGGCAAAGTGGCTAAGTATGAAGAGCTCCTTTGTGAGGAGCAAGATAGGAAGAACTCTTCCAAGGGCACCTAGTATCGTGATCCTAACTATGAGGTGTATACCACTGAAATTGAAGGGGAGTTTGAAGTTAACATAGCCGAGCTCAACATAAAGAAGGCTTACACTTGTGAGGCCTTGACAAAGCCGAAATTAGCCACGGCCAACTTGCAAGCTGCCTCTGGTTCCAAGTGAAAGGGGGCAGACTCTTCCAGAAGTTACTCTTTTGACATTTCTAAAGCCGAGCAAATCTTTGATTTGCTCATGGCTGACAAGCAACTGATTTTTACAGTAGGCCATAAGATGCCGTCAGCTTCATAAATAGCCGAGAAGGAGTATTGCAAGTTCCACAATTCGTGGAAGCATTCCACTAATAATTGTATTATTTTCCGCAACATTGTGCAAAAGGCAATTGAAGATGGCCATTTGAAGTTTCCAGAAAAATCAGAAGTCATGGGTGTTGATGGAAATCCTTTCCCCAAGGTTGTTGCAACAAACGTTGCTTCCATGGTTCCTGAGCATTCCAAAAAGGAGGTGGACTTGTTAAATCCGGTGACCAGTGGAAAGTTAGAAATTCCAAAGGCGGCAACATCTATGGAGAAGACAGTAGCTGAGTTGGAGAGGCAACTCCGAGAGGCCCAGATTGCTTTAATCCAACAAGATTGTTGTCCCAAGTGTAAAGTTCATAATGAAGGTTGCCGTAAAGACTTTCCAAAGGAGAAGCAGAATGAAAAGCCCTCCAATAGTGACCGGGGTCAGAAAATGAAAGTCCATGACCGGCTAACTTTCCAAAAAGTGGAAAACACAGTTACTGTAACCATTCCAGAGAAGGAAAACCGAGTTCATCCAGAAAGAAAGGCAGCAGAGAGGAAATCTGAGATACTTCCAAAGAATTTGGAAAGGAGTAAAGTTTCCTATCAGCTAGGTTCTCGTCCTCCTAGCAGAAAGTTTGAAAGTAGTAAATGGCAAGATAGAGGTTCTAAAGGTGACAAGCATTCCAGGCCAAAATTGGCCTCGAAAGTATGGGTTAGAAGGGGGAGTGAGCATCTCCGACCAAGAATGGTTAGACCTCCTACCTATCAAGATAAGGGATGGAGAAGGCTTAATCATCCCAAGTTTCCCACTCATGATGATTCCTATATGACCCGCACACAAAAGCGAAGGCAGCAAAGGAAGAGGGTTGATAGAAGAAGGTTATGGGAGAAAGACCATGGCTGGTCCAGTTGGCCAAAGAAGACTACTAGGCCATCAGATTTATCAGAGCTTCCAGCTAAAGGAAAGGAGAGAGATCCTGATGATTTGTTAGATCTTGATTCAGAGGTTGGAAATTCCTTAACTACAGACAATCCTCCAACGAAAGATAAAACAGATTTGGAAATTCCCAGCAATTCCAGTAGCAGCAAGAAAATATATTTTGGGAGCCTTCCAGGTGAATTTACTTGCAATATGGTAGTGGTTCTTCCTTTATTTTTTGAGCCACAACCAGATCAGCCCAATTCAATGGAAGGAGATGTAATAGATACAAGTCCACCCATGGAAAGTCTTGGACAGTCTAACTTTGGGCCATTCAAAATGGAACCAGACAAAGGTATCCATATAGAAGAGGTTTTTGAAGATGAAGCTGAGCATCTCCAGAAATTAAAGGGGGTTATGATTGAAGAGAACAGCCCCACGAGGCTAAAGAAAATTGTGTTGAAAAAGCCACCATATGCATGACTAAGCAGCTCAAACCTTTGTACATCAAGGTGCTAGTGGAAGGAAGGCCTTTGGCAAGAGTTCTGGTGGACAATGGTTCGGTGTTGAATGTTGTTCCAGTCAATGTTATGCGCATGCTTAGAAAGTCTCCTAAAGATATCATTCCAACAGATGTGTCCATTAGTGGATTCACGGGAGGAATAGTGAAGACGCAAAGAATCCTACCGTTAGAGTTAACGGTGGGAGATAGAACTTCCATCACAGCTTTCTTTGTTATTGAGTCCACAACGGCTTATAATTTGCTCTTAGGCCGCGAATGGATTCACCCAAATTTTTGCATTCCATCTTCGCTCCATCAAATGCTAATATTTTGGGATAGAGATGAGGTAAAAGTGGTGGAAGCTGATAGCCGGCCATTTGTGGCAAGGGTTTACCATGCAGATGCTGAGTTATATAGCGAAGAATTCATTCCAATCAGATTTATTGGAAAGGATAGCAAGGGCCGTCCAAGGAAGGCCACCATGAGAAGGACTCTCACGGAAGAAGATGTAAGGGAGCTTTTCCAAGAAACACCAAGGTCAACAATTCTACCCAAGGCCGGTGTTCAGCAATACATTTCAAACAAAAGTTTTTATGGAAGAGAAACCTAAAGAAAATAGAATACTTGGCCAGGCGGTTAACTGTTGCCTTGCCAGGTTGAAAGCATATCTAGCCGAACTACGGTTGGAAAGAGCTGTTGTTGCTGGTACTCCATTTTCAACCAATGTTTTGGAGATTATGGAAGATACTGAAGACAAGTTGGATGTTATCCAACTCACAGATTTAAAGGCAGCACCAGTGAAGTTGGAGGATCTTAAGGCCGAAGTGCAAGATCCTTTGTTGGAAATCAATCTTGGAACGAAGCAAGACCCTCAGCCTACCTACATCAGTAAGCTTTTGGAACCAATCTTTAGAGATGAATTGATTTCTTCACTTGAAGAATACAAAGATTGCTTTGCATGGACATATGAGGAAATGCCAGGACTTTCCAGAGAGCTGGTAGAGCATAAGTTGCCAATTAAGGAAGGTTTCAAGCCTTTCAAGCAGCCTCCAAGAAGGATGTCCCAAGAAGTTGTTCTAAAGGTCAAAGAAGAGATAGAAAGGCTACATAAGGCTGGTTTTATAAAAACCGCCAGGTATGTTAACTGGATTTCCAATATAGTTCCAGTTATTAAGAAAAATGGCAAGCTAAGGGTATGTGTGGATTTCTGAAATATCAATCTTGCAACTCCAAAAAATGAGTATCCCATACCTGTTGCTGACCAGTTAGTAGACTCTGCTACCAAGAATGAAATTCTTTCATTCATGGATGGACATTTTGGGTACAACCAGATTTACATCACAAAGGAAGATATTGCTAAGACAGCCTTCAGATGTCCAGGTTCTATTGGAACCTTTGAATGGGTTGTCATGCCATTTGGGCTGAAGAATGCCAGAGCAACATATCAAAGAGCCATGAATGCTATATTCCATGACATGATTGGCCATTTCTTAGAAGTCAACATTAACGATGTGGTCATCAAGTCCTTGGCTAAAGATCAACATCTCCACAATTTGAAAATGGCTTTTGAAAGGATGAGGCAGCACAAGTTGAAGATAAATCCTTTGAAGTGTGCTTTTGGGATTTCAGCTGGAAATTTCCTAGGTTTCTTGGTCCACCAAAGGGGTATTGAGATAGATCAAAATAAAGCAAAGGCAATTATTGAAGCAAAGCCACCAGCCACTAAGAAAGAGTTGCAGTGATTCCTCGGTTAGGTTGGATATTTAAGGAGGTTCATTGCCAACCATGCTGGAAAGACTCATGCTTTCTCCCCTTTTGTTGAAATTGAAAGGTGCTGAGGAATTCAAGTGGATAGAATAGCACCAACAAGCCTTTGAAGGTTTGAAAAGCTACCTGGCCAACCCTCTAGTGCTGATGCCTCCAATCAAGAAGCGGCCTTTAAGATTATACTTATCGGCCGCCGATGAGTCCATTGGAACTCTATTAGCTCAGAATAATGAATGGGGGAAAGAGCAAGCCATCTATTATCTAAGTAGGGTGCTCACTCCAGTGGAATGTAGGTATACTTCCATTGAAAAGTTGTGTCTTTCCTTATACTATGTAGCTATGAAGTTGAGAACTTATATGTTGCCAGTGGCCGTGTATGTAATCTCTCAAACAGATTTGATTAAGTATATGCTTTCCAGGCCTTTGATCACTAGACGTATTAGAAAGTGGTCATTGGCCTTAATGGAGTTCTCCTTGAAGTATATTCCACAAAAGGCAGTCAAAGAAAGGGCGGTAGCAGAGTTTCTAGCAGATCATCCATTTACTAAGATAGATTCAGAAATATGTGATGAGGTGGATAATCTCTACCTTGACTATACACCTTGGACTCTTATATTTGATGGATCAAGCACTCATGATAGAGGTGGAGCTGGAATAGTCATCATTTCTCCGAAAAGAAGGAAAACCAAATTTTTTTTCTTCTTGGATTTCAAGTGTACAAACAACCAAGCTGAGTACGAGGCATTAATTATTGGGCTAGAGATTCTGCTAGAGCTAAAGGTGGAGAAGGTACAGATTATTGGAGATTCTAACTTGATACTTAGCCAATTATCTGAAGAATATAGATGTCTTAACTGGCGTTTGAGGCCTCTCCATTCTTTGGCCTTAGAGTTACTTTGCCAGTTTGATGATTTCCAACTCAAATATTGGCCTAGATATTTAAATACAGAGGCTGATGATCTAGCACAATTAGCCTCTCGAGTGAAAGTCCCACCGGGTGTGGAAGAAGCTCTGATCACAGTTAAAAGAAGAACTCTTCCTTCGGTAGAGTTACGGTATGAGATGGCAAGTCATTTCCAATCTGAAGAGCCAAAAAAATTCAAACCTGCTAATAAGCCATGTGAGGTTTTCAATATTGATATAGATGGATTAGATTTGGATGATTGGAGAACACTAATTATCCAATTCTTGCAAGAGCCTAGCTCCAAGGTGGACAAGAGAATTCAGCTTTTGGCGCCACATTACATTCTGATTGATGGGGACCTCTACAAGAAGAGTAAAGAAGATGGACTTTTATTAAGATGCCTTGGAAAGGATGAATCCATGAGGGTAAAGGCGGAAACACACCTTGGAATATGCGGAGCACATCAAGCTGGAATCAAGATAAGGTGGCTCCTTAGAAGGTATGGTTATTATTGGAAAGGCATATTGAAAGACTGTATAGAGTTTGTCAAGACTTGTACGACATGTCAAGAATATGGCCCGATCTAAAGAGTTCCAACTATTAACATGCAGCCGATAGTTAAAATATGGCCATTTAGAGGGTGGGCTTTGGACTTTATTGGAAAACTAAGGCCTCTATCTTCAGATGGCCATACTCACATAGTGATGGCAACCGATTATTTCACAAAGTGGGTGGAAGCCATTCCACTAAAGACTTGTGAGCAGTCAACGGTGATTGATTTTATTAAGAAGCACATTATACATAGGTTTGGAATTCCAGAGACTATCACCACTGATAGAGGTCTATCCTTTGTTGGAAGCAAGGTCTTGGATTATTGTGCTGAGTGTGGTGTACAAGTGATCAGTTCCACTCCATATTTTGCCCAAGCAAATGGACAGACAGAAGCTTCCAACAAAGTAATCCTCAACATCCTTGAAAAGATGATTGAGGATCATCCAAGGGAGTGGCATCACTTGCTTTCTGAAGCTCTTTGGACCTACAGAAATTCAAAAAGGTCAAGTACAGGCGTCACACCATATGTGCTTACATATGGACATGATGTTGTCCTTCCAATGGAGATAACAATTAGGTCTGCAAGGGTGGCTTTCCAAAATAGGCTAACTCCAGCAGATTACAACCATGCCATGTTAGTGGAATTAGAAGACCTTGATGAAGTTCGTCTCAATGCTCTAGATCATATTATTGCTCAAAAGAAGAATGTCATGCGGGCATACAACAAGAAGGTTAAGGCGAAGACATTTATAGAAGGAGACTTGGTATGGCAGGTCAAATTTCCACCTAGAGTTAAAAGTTTGCAGTATGGAAAATGGACTCCTAATTGGGAAGGTCCTTATTTGGTAGAACGAGTCCTTGGAAAAGGGGCTTATAAATTGATGAATATAGATGGAGGGTCTCATAGACATCCTGTGAATGGTGTGTACTTGAAAGAGTACCACCCTTCCATCTATGAAAATTGGAAATCCACAATAATTCAACCGGCCATGTAGAATGGCTGGTATCTTCCTTTCCAAGTAAACCAGAAAGTTGGAAAGGAAGCGTAATGGCCATTCGGCCATTCCAAGAAGGAAAAGCTAAGTACTTGGAAAAGTACATTGGTTAAAGTTATGAATCTAACTTAGCTGAATTTCCAAGATCAGTTGATTTCCTAAGTATGGAAGACTTCATTGAGGAACTGGCTACGCTACGTGTTCCAGGTTTTAATCATACTGGAAATTGTTCATCTTGCTTGTATATAAATGCTTTTCCATTATGGCAATTTCTTTTATTTCTTTGAATTTCCTTTGTTATGGACAGCCAATTATAAGGCTATGCCTTATTGTAAATATATGTGAAGAAGTTTTCTAGTTTCAGTGACTTAGAAGTTTCTTTTCCATATAAATTATGAAAGAGGCATATACAAAGGGTTGGGAAATAGAGCGTTATCTCACTAGATACTGGATTTCATTACAAAACTCAAAAATGGCCTCCTAAACCTAGGATTGGCCATGCAAAAGTACCCATTACTTGTTTCCTATCCACAAGTTTTCCAAAAACAACCACACAATAGAACCATAAAGAGAAACACATGAGATCAGATAGAGGCAAGAACACCTCCAAGTTCATTCCAAATTTTCCTTGTTTCTTTAAGAGCAGCCACTGCTCTAACCTTTGCATCCTCAAATTTAAGAAAGGCTTCAACTCATTTTTCCCATTCTTTCCTTAAAGGTTCAGACGCATTGACAAGGGCATTAGCTGTTTGGTCCAATTCAAGTTCTTCACGTTCCACTTGTTCCAATTCCCTTTGAACTTTAGCCAGTTCTTCATTCAATTTTTCTTTCTTGATCATAAGCTTTCAACTCGATCTTTGATTTCTGGGTAGGATTCTAAGGAGAGTTGAAAATCCTTAAAAGCTTTATCTCTAAGCTTGGCTTCTTTTTCATACTCGGAAACTATAGAAGTACTGGAGCTCACATGGGCAACAATGAATTGGAGTTAGTGTTGCAGCTTAGTCAAAGAAGCCTGGATGGAATCAGGAAATTCCGGATGTTTTTTGAGGGTCACAATAGTACTGGCTAGACTTGAGTGGAAAGAGACTAATCTTCCACATCGTGGGCAAGATAAGACAGCAACTTTTCTTTAGCCACCATGATAGCATCATTTGACGATCTTGGAAGTGTGAGGACACTTGCACTTGAAGTAGAAGTACTGGAAGATTTAGTGGCCTTGATCACTTTGTAAAGATCAGCTAAGGCTGGAAGGGCTCTCCTCTGCATCACAAAGGAGGTTGAGGTAGATAAGGAAGGAGTTGCCTGAAATGGAACCATGTTTCTATTAAATAGAAAGAAAGAAAGGAGGCGAAGTGTAAAGGAATGAAGACTTGCCTCTGGGATGGAAGGAGTATGACCAGTAGAAGTTCCACCAGTTCCGAAAGGAATGGATACTCCAATAGTGGAAGTTGGAATGGGTTAACTTTTCTCATTCTTTATGGTCAAACTTTCCATAATTGAAGCTTGAAGGGCCAAATCCTCTCCTTGTGCAACTTGTTGATCCAGGTGGATATTCATGAAATTGTGTCCCATAGTAGAGCCCTATTGGTCAAGTTGAAGTTACAAACATTTTAAAATATAAAGTAATGAGATAGACAAGGATAGGGATTGGGACTTACCAAAATAAGCTCTTTGGATGACTTTGGTTTCTTGTGTTTTGGTGAGTCTCCGGTTTGTTTGAACTTTTCTGTTTTTTCCAGTTCAAGCATGATTTTTCTTTTAGCCTTTCCAATAAATTTTCCGGAAGGGCTACGTGTTTTTAGGGCTTTACTGGAATGTTGAGTAGTGGTTCACCCTTTGGAAATGCCAACTTCACCATCAGAAGAATCTTTATTAGAAGAGGATAGTTGGGCCTGAAATTCTTTTTTGACAATGGCCAGTCCCTGCAAGAGGAAGTATAAGTAAGGTCCAGAATATGGAACGGTTAAGTTTGGCCACATTGAAATACCTGAGAAGTTTTTCCTTTTCCCTTTGCCTTGTATAAAGCATCCTCCTCTTCCTCTTGCACTTCTTCTTCCTCTTCTTCATCATCACTTGAGGAAAGACTTTCAATATCTACATCACCAGTTTCGGCTACACCTTCAATTTTACTAACCATTGTGGTGGTTTTCTCTCCACCTTCTTCTTCTTCACTTTCTTCTAGTATTTCCTCTTCTTCATCTGAAATTAACCAAGTCTCAGCATATGGAAGGTTGATGGATTTCAAAAGGGAATGGAATTTATAGTAAATACATTAATACCTGGAGACAGAGGCTTGAAAGATGCCACTATGGAATCACAGACAGCCTTATGATTCTTGGCTCGAGTGGAGGAGATATAAGCTGACCACCATACATCGAATTCATTGGTTGATTGAGGCTTGCTAGTATGGCCTTTGAAATTAAAAGCTGCCCTTTCTGCTGCGTAGGCTTGGTCAATCGCTGCAAATTGTTCAGTATCTGTAAGACGAACACGTTGGTCAAAGAACCTGTTGTAAGATTTGCAGGGTGGCAAAGGAATCATTTGGGTAAAGCCCATTTGTCTTGCTAGTTGGGCTGGGTTGTAGAACTCAACTCCACAGAAACTATTCTTTAAAGTTGGTTGAGCAGTGCTGTAATGGAGGTCACGAGCAATAAGGAAGCTGGCCCAAATATTTTTCCAATCTTCAGAATGTTTCTTGGTGGATACTTCGGGAGATAGAACTAACCATGATGGCATGCGACCAATGGCAGTAAATAGATCAAAGAATTCATCGTTTCAAGTCTCACATTGATTGTAGAAATATTCAAAGTTTTCAGCAAAGCTGAAAGGAGAGGGATTTGTGGTTGCCAAAGAATGGCACAGAAGGGATTTTCCAGTTAGAGTGACTAGGGGTGAAGTTATGTTTTGGAAGTACACTTTAAGCTACATTTGGAACAACCAGAAGGGGCCTTGGAACCTTGAAAACCTGGAAGTAAGGAGATCGTGAAGACCTCTGTATAAATGAGAAAGTACAAGGGGAGCTAATGCTAAGTCTCCATTTCTGGCTAGGGAAACTGCCACTTGAACAAAGTTTTTGGTGATTTGGCCAGATGGAACGCATAGCAAGTGGCCAGAGAGCCAACAAATCAGGAAAGCAATGTGCTCATCTTCTAGAACTGGGCCAGTTTGCTTACAGTGTTTAGTAAAAGGAAGATGGGAGGAGATGAACTTCTTACTTCCAGTGGTCTTGGTTGGAAAGAGGAATTGCTCAACAAAAAGAGTGGCACTTACGTCATCTCCATGAGGCTTAAGACCTATGATGCAACAAATATCTCTCAAAGTGGGAGACATCATTCCATATTTAAGATGCATAGAATTGGTGGTTGAAGACCAAAAGAAAAGGGCTGGAAAGAGGAGGGTCGGATCGAGTGTTATGGAGGACTTACTGATTTGGATAATGTCATAGATGCCTTATTTCTTCCACTGTGAAGAAATTTTCTCGTCCTTGGAAAGACGACTCACCCATGAAGACCAGGATGAATGATATATTGGCCAGTTTCTTATGTTGAATGAGGGTTTACCTTTTTTCCCTTTCTTTGAAATAGGAGGGAACTCTGAATCAAAAGGAAGTGGAGACTTACTAGAAGGGTAGAATTCGGCTATTTCAGAGGGAGCCACGTTGGCAAAAGCTGGACCCAATCCAACTGAGTCATCTTTGAAGTTGATCAAAGTTTCGAGATGAAGCCTAGCAGGGTTTAGAGACTTCAAGAGTACTTGAACTTGGTGACTATGGCTTCAAATTTTGGTTTTGGTTTGAATAGAAGGAGCTGGCAGGGATGAGCTAGTAGTTGGTTTGGAAGGTTTCTTGGGAGGCATGGTCTGTAATTTTTTCATGGATAGGGATGTTCTTTAGGGTTTCAGAAGGAGGAAAGATGATAGAAGGAGAGTTGGTGGCAAACGATAAGGATGGAGGATATATATATATATATATAAACGATAAGGAAGGAAGTAAAGGCTGAGGGCGTTTTCCTAGGATGGGTGGTTGGGTTTTTTTCAAAATTCAAAAGGAAGTCTTAAAAGGTTTTGGAAGCTGGATGGTGTAATAAGTGAATGAGAGGTTTATTGGGAGACAGAATGTGCTTGGCGGCTGGAAAGATTAACATGGTAGGATCAAGAGACCAGCCGAATAACACGTGGAAGATTTTATTCGTTTATGGTGAAATCTTTCAAAGATCAAGGATGCCTTTTCAGGAGGGATAGTTAGAGGAGGACTTTCAAAAGGAAAAGGAAATAATGAGGATTGTGAAGGTTGGAGGATCTATGCCATAAATGGTTAGGATCTCCTTGAAGATACGAAAATCAATGGTTGGAGATGGTCTCAGAAAATACAGGGGGAGCAGCCACGTGTTTTCTTTTGATGATTGTCTTGAGTGTTCAAAAGACCTAAGGGTGCTATTGGAAGGGTTTCAGTTGGATTTTTTGAAATTCAAAAAAGGAAAGTAAAGAGATTTTTATGGGAAGTAGTGAATAGGTCTTTTAGGGGCACATAACATCTAGAAGATTGGTGATTAAAGGAACTTAATATGATGGAATCCGCAAAATTAGTTGTGGTTAGGGTTGGAAAACCAAGCGACCATGATGGTATTCTGATGGCGGAAATCAAATCCCATGCCTTATTTTCAAATTGTTTTACAAGACATGGAATTTGGGGGGCATATGTTTATTCCATCATTTTTACCCAATGGAAAAGAGACAAGTGGCGAGTTTTGACAAAACTTACCATATTGATTTAATGTTTTAATTGTTCAAGAAAAAGAGGGTGTGACATGGAATTGTTAATGTGGTTCCTTAAATAGAAAAGAGGTACGTGGTAAGTTCTAATGGAACTTGCCATGTTAGACTACAATATTGATAAATATTCCACCTTGGAATATTTAAATTATGGGAATTAAAAGACAAGTGGCGAGTCCCTTTAGGACTTACCAAATTTAGGATATAATGTCCTAAAAGGAAAAGAAAAC